AGCAGTAGTTCCTGTATATCTAACGGGAACAGGCAGAAATTCTATTAACAGCATGGGCAAAGGGCACAAAAGAGGAAGCCAAAGATGTTGACAGGCACATTCAAAGATGGTTACACTTATCAATAATTACAAAAGTGGAAACAGGATACTGACTCAGCATCTCTTTATTCCATTTGAGCAACACAATTAGAACACTTAATGACACCCAGGTTTAGGGGGTGTTCATGCACTGTTGCAGGTGGAAGCAGCTTTGGGGACACCCCGACATGACTTGTTCCATCAGTCCTTCCTCTGGATATGTGCACAGAGCGAGTTTCACACAGGTCTACAATGGGACATAGAAGACTGGCGGTGTTTATTGTAGTAACAAATTGGGAATCATCTAGGTGTCCATTGCTGGGGAAGTGAGCAAGGAAAGTATGGTGGTATATCCTGCTGAAACCAGGATCAAACTAGATGTACACACAGCCCAGATGGATCAAAAACTAGTGTCATGGAAAAAATGAAAATGAATGCAAATTTAAGCTCCAGAAAATTATATATATCATACATCATATGTACATGAAGAAAAATAAAGCACATTTGAATGATTACATTTCTAGTAAAAAGGAATAGTAAAAAAAAATACAAGGAAATAAAGGAAACTAGAGTGAAAATTGCTATGGAAGAAGGGGAGTGAGCTATAAACTGAGGGATTAACTCTATGCTTGAGGATACAAAATAAGAAGAAAAACAAAACAAAACAAAAAAAGAAGGAAAAAGATACCACAAAATAACACGTTAAAAAAGATTTTTATCTTCAGTACAAAAACAAAAATTCAACAATATATTTTATGTATTTATTTATTTTTATTTTATTTTTTGCTTTTTTGAGACAGGGTCTCACTATGTAGTTGAGACTGACTTGGAACTCACTTATGTAGTCCAGGCTGGTCTCGAACTACAGCGATCCTCTTGCCTAAACCTCCCGAGTGCTGGGATTACAGGTGTACGCCACCACACCCAGCTCAACAATATATTTTATATAAAAGGATATTTCAAGGAAAGTGGCTCAGTAAAGTTAAAAAAAAATGGCAAAGATATATCAAGGAAAACAGCACTGAAGGCTAAATTGTATGTCTCTTCCAAGCTTCCTAAATCTTTGAAATTAAATATTATGACACCGAAGTACTTGACACATGAACTTCAGGCAAGCAAAAGAGACATAAACCTAAGCACAATGACAATAACAAATGACATCTGTAGACCCAATAGATCAAGTGAATAAAAAATAAGGGAGTGCATGATTTGAACGATATGATGAATAAAGAGTTCCTAAAAGACAGTTATTGAACTTTGGAACCTAGTAACAAAGAATTCACAACGTTTTAAGTACTCGTGGGCCATCTACAAAAATTGACCATAGTTTAGGCCATGATGTTATAATGCAATCAGTTTTTGTTTGTTTGTTTTTTAGCAATGGAGATTGAAGCCAGGGCCTTTGTGCTGAGCTACATTCCCAGCCCTTTTAAAATTTTGTATTTTGAGACAAGGTCTTGCTATGATGCCCAGACTGAGCTTGAACTGTGATCCTCCTGTATCAGCCTCTCAGGGTTCTGGGATTACAGGTATACAGTTTCACACCTGCCTCAAATTATTAAAAAACAAAATAAAACAGAGAATTATGGAAAAATCTTGTCAAAAGGTAAGTTTTTAAAAATTTTATTTGTTTATTTATTTTTTGGTACTGGGGATCAAACTCGAGTCCTTCTGCTTGTGAGGCAGGTGGCAGAATCACTGAGCTAAATCCCCAGTCCTCAAAAGGTAAGGTTTAAAAATACCTCTTTACATCACCTTTGAGTTCAAGTAAAAAAATAGAGCTGATATTAGAGACTCAAAAATAAAGATAATACAAAGACTACATATTTAAACGTGAGGGCTCTAATTAAAATTGTTCTCAGGGAAATTCATTAAACACTTGGAAATAAGAAAGAATGGAAATATGAAAAAAGTGTTGATTTTCAGAACCGAAGAAAATATCAACAAAACCAATTAAGATAAAAGCAGATTCTAATGGATGAAACAAAGAATCTCACAATAGAATATATGAATAAATTCAAAAGCTTTTCCATGAAAAGTGAATAAAGAAGCTACTGAATAGCCTCATCAAGAAATAAGGGGTAATGAAATGTATAGCATTTGAAAACCTACACTGAATGGGTGATTTTTTTCTAGGAAAATATGAGTTATTCAATTTTAAGCATATGAATTATCATATTTTATGTACATGAATTAAAATTTTTATTTTATTTGAGTAACTAGAGTAACATCCATGAAAACCACTGGGAATTCTCGTTAGGGAGCTACAAGTTCAAACATAACAGGTCAGATGATTTCACATTCACTTTTTTTAATCATCAAGGAAAAGATAAATTCAGTAGTATTTAAATTTTTTTTGTTTACAGAGAAAGCAAGTTGCTAACATAATGAGAAACCAATATAGCACTGATATCAAAGCTTTTCAAAGCAAGAATAAAAAGCCACAGGTAAATTCTTATTATGCATCTGTGCAAAAGTCTTACACAAGATAATATCAAATAGGATTCAGCAGGATATTAATATATATCACACCCAGATGTCACTGGGAGAATTATTCATTATTAGGAGAACTGTTAGTATAATTCATCATATGAAGAGAAAAGGGAACAGAAGCAACACCAGAAAGATGTTTGAAAAAATTCAACATCTACTTCTGATTAGACAGTTAAAAAAATCTTGTTAATTTATATAGTGGATATTCTTTTGATAATTCTACATATAGATATAAGTTAAAAAGCAAGCACCATGGTTAATGTTGAAATAAAAAAGCATACTTATGACATCTGTAAATAAAGCGAAGATGCCTCATCACCACAAATAACATCATTCTAGCAAAGCCGGCCAATGCACATAGCGTGGGGAGAAGCGTGATTGCCGTATGGGTAAAAGAAGCAGTGATCTTGTCTGTAGATGTGATCGTATATCTAGAAAACCTAAGAAAACCAACAGAGAATATTAGAAATGCAAAGGGAACTCTGTGAAATACTTGAGTACAGTCCCAGTTAAAATTCCCAGTCCCCCAGCTTTTGAAGCTTTACTTACAGTATGAGCTAACATATAAAAACCTAGAACGTGATATATGTGCAATCGATTATCTGTCAACGTAGACGTCTAACCCGGAGAAAAATATATGTCACTTTTCTTCTCCCCATATCCACCCAGACTCAAAATGTGACAACCATTTCGGGTAGTTCTTATTGTCTGAGCGAGGGTCTTGTGATGTAGCTCAGTCTGTCCTTGAACTCATAGTGGTAACTGTCCAGTTTGTACTACCTGACTGGCGAAGGCAGCTGCACGTTTAAACCTCATCCTTCCAGTATTCATTGTGTGTTAACAAAGCTAGTATGTTCTAAAAAATAAGAATTAAACGTCTTTTGGAGTCAGGACTTCTTTTCTTTTTCTTTTTTTTGAGACAAGATCTCACTATGTAGTTCAGGCTGCCTGTAAACTCACTGTGTAGCCCAGCCTTGCCCCAAACATGCAGTGATCCTCCTGCCTCGGCCTCCTGAATGCTGGGATTATGATTGTGCATAATCACTCCTGGCAGGATTTTTCTTTCTTTGTTTTGTTTTTTTGACACAGGGTCTCACTATATAGTTGGGACTGACCTGGAACTCACTGTATAGCCTAGGCTGGTCTTGAACTCACTGTGATCCTCCTAACTCAGCCTCTCGAGTTTGTGTGCCACCATACCTGGGGGATTTTTCTTTCTCGACAGGATAGTTTAAGGGTACAAAATTTTAGTGTAAATTTTTGCACCAATTTTAGCTTCAAAAGAATTTGACGCTTAAAACTGTCCTTCAAGAAGGCCTATTTGTACATATGAATGTTTCTTTATGTACATTTTCTGTACCTATGCAATTTCTGTTAAAATTGCCTTATTAAATTTAAAAAACACTACACAAAATATCCAGTCAATAAGTTCAACTATGTATTTATATAGTCATAAAAACTTTTTGAAAGTATTGGAAAGAAGTTGCTTCTAAATATTAGCATTTTAGCTAATTTTTCCTTTCTTTTTTTCTTTTATTTTTTTATGTAACACTGTTTTCTAATGTGTTTTACCTTTTTAAAAATTTATTTATTTAATTTTTGGTTTTTTGAGACAGGGTCTCACTATGTAGTTCAGACTGCTCTGGAACTCACTGTGTAGCCCAGACTGGTCTCGAACTTGCAGCAATTCTCCTGCCTCAGCCTCCCGAGTGCTGGGATTATAGGCGTGCACCACCACGCTCGTCTCTAATGTGTTTTATATCTACAATTTAAGCAAATATTTTAAAAGATTCTTTTTAAAGATAGCTTCCTTCTAAGTCACTTAAAAATGAAACTAAACATCCACAATTTTCTTTTGCTTCATCTGTTTTATTTAACTACATTTTCACCAGATGTAAGACCCAGTTCACCGAAGTTCATTCCTTTCTGGCTCCATCTCAAGCTGCTACAGTTGGTCAAGGAGACAGCATGGGATCCCCAGGCAGATCTGGGGCACCTGGACAAGACGCCACTGTGGAGGACATATACGCGAGACCTATCCTCTTTGGGAGATGGTTTTTGCCTTTAATACAGGAGGTGAGACTTGGTCCAGGAGAGCAGTGTTCAGGTCCCTGCTGAGAGTGAAGCAAGCAAAGTCATTAAATCTGTAGGGAGTTGTGGGACCCTCTAGGTCTTTGAGGACTAAAAGGAGAAAATAGGAAGCCTGCAGATTTCCAATCTCCAGGTCTTCAGAAAGTACCAGGCTAGAATGCTGTAGAGAAAAAGGGAAAAGGGGTAAGAAGGGTGTGAGGCAGGAAAAAACTGAACACACTCAGGAGATTCCCCCATGGAGAAGGGAGGCAGCAGGAATGAGGAGGAGCTGGAATGAGGAAGCAGGCCGGTGCGAGTCTCAGGCTCCTTCCCTACCGGGAGGCTTTCCGTACGAGCCCTTGGGGCTTCTTCCCAGGCCTAACCCTTTACCAAAGACCTTTCAGAGCATGTGTTGTTTGATTGTGTCCCAACTCAGTGGGGAAGTCAAACTACATGTCATTCCACTTTTCTGACCAAGATACTGAGCTTCAGAGAAGTTTACTTAAGTAGCTCCTTATAGGGCTGGTAAGCCAGGGGGTGGCCTCCAGCTCTGCACAACTCACTCCAAATACCAGATCCTTTCCAGAGCCCCATACTGACTCCATCTCCGGAACAAGCCACAGCTATGACAAGCTCCTCCAAGTGGGCATGGGCCCATTGGTCCTAACGGTTTTTCTTTTCACCAAGTGTCCATTGGCTTGGAGGGCTCCATGGAGGTGGGAACAAGGATTGCCCCAGGTTTCAGGGCTCCATGGACCTTCAGACTCCCAAACTTTCTTCAATTTACCTCCACCCTGGAGGAACTTTGTCCTTTACAGTTTGTGGCCTGACTTCTATGGCAGGTCCAGCATCCTTCCAATAGCCCCTCATCCTCTTCAACTAGAACTCAGGGCTTAATTTTGATGAACAGAGTTGTTTAGGAGAAAGCTCAGAAAGGTCAAATAGATTATAGAACAATGCAATCAGTGTCACTTTGATTAAGACCACTCAGATTGTATAGTTCTTTGGTTTCATAATTATTTTCTTGGCATCATGTCCCAGTCTACCACCTCTTTTGAGAGGACAGATGAGGACTAATAATTTGAACACACAGAAGAATCCTTTATGACTCTGGCCCAACTTAATGTCAACTAATAGTGTTGCCCTGGCCACAGGCTGCTGTGGAATGGGTGAGTGGTTCTGAAAGCAGAAAGGGACAGTGGGGACTGGTAAAGAAAATTGGAGGTGGCAGCCTGAGGAAGAGGCTCAGAGCTGGGCCAGGCCCCAGGTGACTCTGCCATTACCCACCTTCACACACGGCCCCTGCATCCTCCTCATGTCCACAGTCAAAGGCCTCCACCTGCTCACACTCAGCCAGGGCCACCTCTGTCCCATTGCACAGGGCCACCTGTATGAGCACAGGCAGGGCCTCTTCCGCCACAGGTGGGTACAACATGGCTACCAGTGTGTGCTTGGCTGCTCCACAGCCCAGCTCTCGGCAAACCACTGCCACGTCCTTCATGTCCCAGCCGTCATCACACACGGTGCCCCAGTGACCTTCCTGTTCCACCTCCACTCGGCCTTCACAGCGGTGGGGACCATTCATCAGACGGACTTTGGGTGGGGCCTCTGCAAATGGAAAGGGTTAGCCCTTTCTGAGGAATGTACGTACTCTCAGCAGCTCCCAGTATAGAGAGAGGTTGTCTGATAGCAGTGGCGTTTGTGTGTGGTGTGAGGTAGGGGTTTGGGTAAAGCGGGTTATGACCAAGCTTTGCCTTTTCCCTACCCCATTACTGCATCTTAAAACCATCTTATCTCACTTATGGCACCATTGAATGACTCCTAGGAAAGTGAAGAAAAACAGGCTTGCACTGGATTCTCATGGGCTGCAGAAGTGTTAGAGGGAGAGAGAATTTTGTCTTTTGTTCCTAGAATTGGAGATTGAGGACTAAGAACTGTTCCATACCTCACTGATGAGTGCACCAACCACATTTATCAACTGCATTTTCTCTGCACAGGATGGAACATGCACATCCACACCCAGTGGTTTGTCTCTAATCTAATTACTGCCTTTTTGCTTTTTTCTAAACTGGAGTGGTATCTGGCAAAAAGGACAGATGGAAATCTAGAGCTGTTAATGGCCAAATTTAGAAGTTAATGAAGGAATCCAGAAGATAGAAGGGATAACACAGAGCCCTTGGATCCAGTCGCATTCCCAACCTGCACCAACATCACATTTATTTATTTATTTATTGGTACCAGGGATCAAACACGGGTCCCTGCACTTGTAAGGCAAGTGGTGGAACCACTGAGCTAAATCCTCGGCCCAACATCACAATATTGGCAGGGTTCTGGCCAAATTAATCTGTATGGTACTTCTATCCTTTGCAACCAAAATGCTCTGTGTCAACAATTAATTACTAAGATCCTTGCAAAGGCCCTGAAAAAAAAGGTAAATATTAAATCTTAGGTAATAACGAGAACATTTTTGAAAATGAATAGGTTAAAGAGAACAAACATAAGTAAGAGTCTTTAAAGACTGAGTAAATTGAGAAACTAACTTACTTTAATATTTAGCTAAATTCTGGTCTTTGTATTTTATTCTTCAGACTAAGAAAAAAAATCCATGTTCTTTTAAATTTCTATGTAGAATACTTATGTAAGTTGACTGTCAATTAAACCATCAAGAAAGTCTAGTAATTTCTCCCAAATAAAAATTGTATAGGTCACACTTTTCAATAAATGCTAATCACAAGAATAACAAAGAAATATCTAAGAAACTAATAAGACATAGGCTAAAAATAAAATCTATTTGTAAGAGATTACCAAGTCTAGGTTGTTAAAAGGAAACGAAACCCCATACTTTAGACATTAAACAAATGCAAATATTATGCAGCAAAACTTTTAGAAAGAGGTAAAAGTGGTACTTAGAGGTGAACATACAATTTTAAGAGCATTTATTAGAAATTAAGATGAGAAATAAATGTTTAAGAAATTAAAAAAGGAAACAGCTTAAAATGAAAAAAAGAGGAGAGAAATACTGAAAATAAAGGAGAAATAATTGAATCAGAAAGCCAAAGCCATTTGAACAATGAAATTTATAAATTTGAACAATACAAATAATAAAAATAACTCTGACTCTTTGAAAAGAGCAATGCAAGAGAAAAACTTCTGGCAAATATAACAATAAAAGAGAGATCACGCAAACAAACACATTAGAACTGAAAAGAGCATAATCACAAATTATGATGACTCTAAAAATTCAGTGAAAACAGTATGTGACAAATTGAAAGTCTAGATGAAATACACTTAGCTTTTTGGATAAGAGCGCCCAAATTGTGTTTTTAAAAATTGGAAAATTTGAAAAGACTAACGCAAAAGATTTGACATTAAATCCACCGGGCTTCTAACGCTATTTGCGCTAGTCTCCCAAAGACTCTTCAAGAGGCAGATATTTCAAATATTGTTTTAAACTGCTGCAGAAATGACAGAGGCTCCTGAGATCATTCTGATGAGTCCAGTCTACCCCAAAATGAAAAAAAAAAACAAAACAAAACCAAAACCCAAAACAACTCATTTATAAGTAGGATGAGAAGGACTGATGGTACATCTCTGTGATAGAAGCAATGTTTAGTGTGTGTGAAGCTTGCTTTCAGTCCTCAGTGCCAAGCAAACAAACAAGATGTAAAAATTTGAAGTAAAACATTAGTAAGTTGTATATAGCTATGGCCTATGATGACTAAAGAGGGCTTATAGGAGAATATAATGATTGCTGCATATTAGGAAATCTATTAATATAATTATCCACAATGATAGGTTAAAGGAAAAAAATGTATGTATCCAACATGATATATTAACATGGCAAAAAGCAAAGTTTCTTGATGCTGGCAGCCCTGGTCTAAAGTTCCATTTTTGTACCTATTTAGTGTATTCCAATTAAATAACCTTGGACAAGTTACTTAAATCTAAATTCTATTATCTCATTTTTAAAGGTGAACTGATGTGGAGATTAAATGAGATAATCTGAGTAAAAATCTAAATCCCATAATCTGTCTTGTCGATGGATTTTCTGTTTTTTCCTTATGTATCTTTAAGAATTAGTTGTGTCTCATTTACTGTGAGCTGTGAGTGTGCAAAATCCTTCCTAACTTTCCTCAGGGATGTCTTTCTCTTTGCTTTTCACCTGACATACTCTGTACACTGACCTGATACCTGCACAGTGCCCTACAAACTATTTCACACGTATCTGATTATTTAAGTGAAAGGAAACAAAAGGGAAAGAATTGGGTAAGCATTAAGGAAGTGATACTGTTTTTAACGACAAAAGGAAGCCTGGTGTGATGGCACACACCTGTAATCTCAGCATTCTGGGAGGCTGACACAGGAGGATCGCAAGTTCTAGCCCAGCCTAGGCAACTTGGTGACTTAGCAAGACCCTGTCTTTAAGAAAACAAAACAAAACAAAACAAACAAACAAACAAACACCCCCAGAAACTCCGTGGATTTAGCTCTGCGAAAATGCTGTGGATTCAATTCCCAGTACCTTCGAATGAAGTAAATGAATGATTGAGCACAGAACCTGGGTGAGCGAATAGGCTCTTTGGTAGAACTCTAATTCCTCGAGGGACAGGTGACTCCAGTGGAAAAGAAGCACAAGGCGCTACTTGGTATAACTTGCAGCTGGTTCTCAGGAAGATGATATTGAGCACGTCCTACCTGTAATGTTAAGTGTCACCACCTCACTTGCGCTTGGGTCCCCAGCCATTGTCAGCCTCACAAGAGAAGTTCCCAGAATGGTTTGCAGCCACGGAGAAGTTGAGGGATGTTTTTCCTTGAGAAGATGCTGAGATGCTCCCCACAATGATGTCTTCATGATAAAACCGGTACAGAATGGGGGGAGAAGCTCTCAAATCTTCACAGCGGAGCTCCACCATTTCACCAATAAAGACCGTGGCCCCAGGAGCACTAATGGTGAGAAGTGGGCTCAGGGCTGGAACTGACAGAGGCATCAGGGTCCATCAGAGAAGGTGTCATAGCTCACAGCCAACCCGCCCTCCTTACGGGTCCTCTCCATACCTCACCTCCCTGGATTTTTTTCCCATGGTTGCACCTCCTGATCTAACCCTGCAGAGATAGCTCCAGTACAGCTTTACTGATGTGAAGAAAGAGCTATGGCTCTGCCCACAGTGTGGCCTGCCTCCTATTTTATCTTCATCCCTCCTTTAGGTCCTTGGCAACTGCTGCCAGTGCCACCACCACCATCACAGCACCAACCTTGCCTTGTTAATGGCCTGTTACCCTTCAGCCTCTGTACCTTGACATCTCCTTCATCCTCACTGCCCCAGAAGGAAGCTGACCCCCGATGGGAATGGCTGGCCGGCTGAGGGCCTGCTACTCACTTCTCACAGCGATGTTCACTGCCGGGCTCTGAATGGGGCCGTAGCTGTTGTCAGCTGTACAGTAGTAACACCCCGCATGGCTCTCCTGGACCACAGGGATCTGCAGCTCTGCTCTCCGGGAGCGCTCATGTTTTTCCCCCAGTCTCTCCTTTGTGTCCTCCCTGTACCAGGAGAATGTGATGTCCCCTGTGCCTTCTGCCACAGAGCAGACAAAGATCAGCTTCTCCCCCTCAACTGCCTGGCCTCCTGGGGGACGGGTCTGCATGGAGACTTGAGACACAGAGATCCCTGCATGAAGAAGAAACAGCAGGTGAGGGCCAGGTGCGGGGAGGGAAGGGAAGGGGAAAAGGGCAATTTGAACAGTTTGGCAAGTGGGTTTCTGGAACTGAATGTTTAATCATAGGAGAGTCCACCCCACCGTGGTACAGGACTCCCCTTAAGTTACTCCTCAATAACAGTCTTACCCTGCACTTACTCTATGCTCTTTATCTCTCTCTAATAGCTGCAGCCTGCAGTGGCCTCCTGGTCCTGGGGACAGTAGGAGCAGCAGGAAGGTCACAGACTGGACAATTGTCTCACTCAAGTTACACCTCAGCTCTGCAACTTGTTCATTGCATGATCCTCAGTTTTCTCAATGATAAAGTAGAGATTCCACGGACCTCACGGAGTTCTGAAGAGTGAATGAGACACAGGTGTAAAGCACCTCTCCCACAGAAGCGTTTAAGCAGCACCTGCTATGGCTGCCACTCTCCACCTGTGTGCAGGGTAGGAGAGGCTGCAGAGTGGCTAAAAGCCATCCAGGGAAGACAGAGCAACTGGGCTCAAATTCCAGCTCAACATTCTGGGTCATCTAAGGCAAGGCTCTTCACAGTAACCTGCTTTCAGTTTCCTCCTCTGTAAAATGGGCAGTATAACACTATCGGCTTTCTAGGTGCTATTCATAGTACTATTACTTAAGGCTGTGATGAAAGGCAAATATTAAGCTTCTCTGGGCAGCACCATGTTCGTGGGAAATGTCCTTCAATCTTCTCCTCTGCAGACATTTATGAGCATCAGAGGGACTTTTGTAGAATTGAGCACAACAGCCAAAGTTCAGTCCTGGCATATATTAAGCCACATACTAAATAACAGGGGTTATTACTGTCATTTCTAGTATTATTTTTACTATAGACCTTCATTGCTCTACCTTGGTCAAATGTACCTCGCAGTTGAAAATCATTTCTTGCAGACAGAGGCCATGATTTATTTACCTCTTGGATTGCTGAGCATATCTCATCACTAGTTGTAGGGTATGCACTAGTTGTGTGCTCCAGAGAGATGTAATTATTGTTGCTTTCCTGACAAAACAAAGATGTTTGGAAGTGATGCCTCTGCAGAGATTAATAGAAAAGAGCCCAAGGGAGCCATGGTAGCTCCCACACCACAAGGGTCGAAAGCACAATGGACAAATGAGCCCACAGTTCATCTGGTGCCCTACCCCACCCCTGGTGGCCCAGCCCACTGATGCTCACTCTGCACACTTATGTAGGATTTGCTACTCCGCTTCGAGATCTTGTCCCCTAACGCCTTTGCCTCACACCAGTAATGCCCTGAGTCTTCTTTCCTTATTGCTGAGATCTCAAACTTTGATGACCACTCTCTCCAACCTAGGGTGCGGTAATCACTGATGAAATTGTAGCGAAGAGAGATCCACGACCTATCGGAAGGGAGCCTGGAGTCACAGAACATCGTCACTGAGCTCCCCTCCATAGGCCAAGAAGTGCCGAAGGTCAGTGTAGGCTCTGGAAACAGCTCTAGAGAAGAAAACAAAACAGAGACACCCTGAGTGTAGAATTCCTGATGCGAAGTGGCCCAGGTGAATGAAGCATACAGATCTAGACTCAAGGACGCACAGCCCACTTGCCACCTCTCCCTCCCTGGGCGGTCTCCTCTGCCTTATACTCTGGCCCTCCCACAAAAGCCCTACTCCTTCCCAGACTCATCCACTTGAAGAATGAGGCCCTCACCGTGGACAGTGAGCCACACAGATCTTGTTTCTTCTGTCCTTTGTATAAACCAGAAAATCTTCCTCTCTGCCTTACAGGAATAGGAGCCGCCATCCATCACTGGTCCTTGCATTGGAGATGGTAATAGCTCGAGGCCCCAGAGTAAGCAGCTATCTGATATCCATTCTTGTAGTACACTAGCTTCTTTATGTTATCGTTGTTTTCCCCAGAACATCTTACAGTCACGGTGTCTCCTTCATAGGCCTTGCGTGGCAAGCTGATGCTCAGCCAGTCTGCAAAAGAAGCAAAGATAACTTGTGCTGGCAATGCTGCTCCCTGCCATGGTGCTCTGACTCTGTTCTTGAAAGGAAGGGATAATGCTTTCCACGTGAGTTGAGAAACTGGGCACCCACAGTCGCGCTTGGGTCTGTTGGCTCTGTTAGCATCCGTGCTCAGGGCAGGTGAGTTCCACTGCCTTTTAGTGACGTTTTTTTCCTCCAAACATCCTGTTAGTTTTATGTCTACCAACGGGTTTTGATACCATTTTGTCTGACTGCCAGCAGGTTGACTAAATATGGGTTTAAAATGATTCTCTGTGCCTCTCCTTATGTCCACTCAAAGTGACCGCAGGTCCCCACGGGAGCCATGATCAACTCTCTGCATATCTCACTGCTTAGAGACTCTGTTTGTGTAGTGGTACAATCACCTCAAAGCCTTCCCTTTGTAGTTCTCCCTGGATGAAACAAACTGGGCCCCGGGATCTCCACCTTTGGTCTCCAGAGTTCTCCTTTTCAGTGGCTCTGGAAATCCTTTCTGTGCATGGGCCTGAGTGATTCCTATGGAAAGGGTTGTGGGGTCCTCTGTTTCTTCTGGTCACTTCCTCCCCATGGAGGGTGGTGATCACCAGAGAACTGATGAGGAGCTTGTGTTTTGGCTTTGCCCCCAGGAGAGAGAGAAAACACAGCAGCACAGGGAGAAGCTGTAGGCTGCTCTTTGCAGAAGGAAAGGAAGCCCAACCACCACGCTGCTCTGCGGCCCAACCCTGAAGCTGTGGGCTTTCTGAAGAACGTTTCAGCGGGTAACAGGAATAGAAATATAGGTTCAAATATCTGTTTGTAATTGTAGTGCCTTGGGCTAGATTGTAGGAAAAATGTTCTTCTGGTAAAAAACAAACAAACAAACGAGCAAAACAAAAAGCCCCTAACTCCAGGCCTGCACACTGGGCATTCCCCTTTAGTGTACAGAGCAGACACACAGGAACATGATACAGGAAGGAAACAGAACCCAGGGTATTGTTCAGGCTGCCCGCCTGGCTTATTTCTCTAACCATGAGTTTTTGGGGTAGCAGTAGCTCCTGATGTCTTGGCTCAGAAGATAGACTGTGTTCTCAAGATTTGGTCTAGGTACACAGTCCCCAGGGAAGGATGTATAAAGAGGCAGGGAAAAAGCACTTAAAACATCCATAGTATATTAGACATTTTTTTTTCATTTTAAATTTTCTGTTTTTGTATATATTCTCCCACACTTGTAATGTTTCAGTATAGGATCTATATAATATATTGGCGATACATGATCTTGTGACCAGATAAGTTCAAAGACAACTTCTGTCACCTTTTTGCCACTTTGTAATTCCCACCATCATAGTAGGAACTGAGGATGGTGGTAGGGGACACAAGGATCAATAAAGGGAGGGAAGTGTTGGAGGCCAAATGTTTTCTCCCTATGTGTTGAGACAGGGTGAGATTTTCACTGAAGATTATAGCTATACAATCAGTTTGGTTGAAAAAATATTTGAGGAGTAAGACTTATGTGATCAAGTTGATAATAATGACAGAGCTAGAGATAAAGGAAAAGGGCTGACCTGGATTTTAATGAGTCTGGAAAAAGGATTTAACTGTAAGACACCTGAGTTTGTGGTCTTTAGCTTCGGCTATGGATCCATTCTGTACACGTGGGCACAATAGTGCGTATGCACACATTTTATCATCACTTCAGAGACTTGGCTGAATCCTGAGAGGGTCTCTAGACCCCCACCTAACCGATAGAAGAACACTGCTGCTTAAAACTATAAGCTTCGGTATATAAACATTACCACCCTTTCCTATTATAGAATGAATGTGTTCTCAAAGGCATAACTAAAGAAGAAAATGTAACTTTTCAGTCTGCTTTGAAATCAAGCTTTTTTCTTTGTTTCACTGTGCTAAAATTCTAATGAGAATAAAGAGCAATAAGTTAAGCATTGGATAATTTACAGATAAAAGACCCGGGGGACATTCTTGTTCTATGTAGAGCAAATCCTTAGCCTCTTATTGCTCTCTTTTATAAATAAGTCTTCCATCCCCGTTTCCAGTGTTTCTGGTGGAGACCTTGAGAACCTGTGGCTAGAACCAGGAGGGTGTATCTCCAACAACATGGTACATAGTTTGCTTTCCCTTTAGTGTATCTTCTTTCCTGTCCCAGTGCTGCACAATAAAAGGATGATAGTCCATCACCTCGAGAGGGTCAGGGCATGACACTCTTGCTTATCAAGCTGGGAGGTGGTAGAGTGGAGCTGAATGTGACATTGTAGCAGCCCTGCCACTGTGGGACATGGGTGAGGAGAGGGGTAAGGAGTAAGACTCCAAATTTTACTCCCTTGTCTTGGTCCAGGCCCCTAAAGGTTGTAGCCAAGGGGCTGGGACAGGCAGCACCTCCAATGGCTGAAGAGACCAAAAAAGAAGAAAAAAATAACTCACCAGACTGGACGCCAACAGGAGCTGTGGGAGAATAGAGTCAGAGAGGTTACCACAAAGAGGTCCAGGTCCTAATGCTTATTATAAAGCTATAACTCTTTGAGAACTTCCCAATAATTAGTTCCCTCTCTTCACTTGGGTTTCTTCCTGTCCCCTTCCCTCATCTCCTGTTTTTCTTTTTCTTTCTTTCCCTTCCTTTCCTCCATGACAATACATCCATGAAGGCTAGCGTTCATTTTTATAATCTCAAACAGTTTATAAGGAGTGTTTGCCCATTACCAGAAAGTTTGTTATTTTGCAGGTAAGTTCTCAGAAAATTTATCATTAATTGCCTCCGCTTCTATTTTTAAATGTCTCCTATTTTGTCTGAGATAATCACCTGCCTTAGAGCCATACAGATGCCAGGAAGGGTTGCAAAAGAATGGAGGTGTCTGCCATGTTTTAGTGTCACAGTTTCTCCCTCCTGCCCAATTTAGACCTCGTATTGTGTCTGGCTCTATAAGAGAGTCATATGCATGAGCAAGACTTGAAGGCCCTGCAAAATCTAAGTCTAGGGAGATAGGAGTGCAGCTAAAAAGGTAGTGGTTGGAGAGGTTGAGGGGCTGGGGTGGAGTGGGATTAATATGGGCTGAAAGTGGAATTCACCTTAACAGAAAATTCCTTTGATGTCCTTTTATAGAAGGTTTTTATTTTTCTATAGATCAAAGTAAAAACAATGCTAAACAAAGAGAGAAGCCACCAGAGTTTGGGAAAGAGATGCACAGACCTTTGCTTTTCCTGAGAACTGTATTCTGCTCAATACCTATTTGCATAATACCCGATGGCACAGAGTTAAAAGCTGAAACCCATCCCTACTCATCCCAGCAGAGAGATTTGTGCTCAGGAAGAGCTTCTGGGATGCCCAGGCAAAGTAATGCTGCCCTGGCCCTACCCAAGTCCAGCTATCCTACCCACCAAGGACCAGAAGCAGTGACCACAGCAGCATGAGGCTGGAAGAAAGAAGTTCTTCTAGCAACAGTCAGGTTCAGCTCAGGTCCAGCGCAGGTCCTAATGGCAGGTCTATCCACATGCACCATGAAGCAGGTACTGGCCACTGTGGTTTAGTGGGGATTTTATTGAAATAGAGAAAAAGGAAGTAGAAAATCTCTCTGCCAATCAGCATTATCCACACCCCAACCACCATGAGTGCTGAGAGAGCAAATGTTTTTTTTTCCCTTTACAGAGTCACTCAGATGTATATTGATCAGAAATGCTTCCTAAAATGTGAGCTGTCTTCATCCTATTGATAAGCTTTCTATCTCATTTGACCTGGCAGAGAATGCCAAGTTCTGGCATGGGTGAGTTCACAGCTGACTGGGATGCCCCTAATAGGAGGAATGGCCCAGTTGGAGAAAGTAGATGACTAGAGTTTGCCTTTGGAAGGTACACTTTTCAACTGTCTCTCCTCTCTCTGTTTCCTGGCTGCTGTGAGGTAAGTGGCTTTCCTTGAACATGCCCTTTGTTTGTGATATGTCTGCCTCAGAGCCAGCTGATTGTGGGACTTGGAGACAACCCTTCCTCCTTAAATTGTATATGTTAGGTATTTTATCCCAGCAATGCAAAGCTGACTAACACATTACTCAAGATGCTTAGTTCGTTATGTGGTTCCTAACACTGTGACACCGTTGCTGATGCCATATTGATGCTGCTCTGTAGAGACCCATCCAGAGTATAGGAAGAGACAGACAGGTTATTTGTTACAAATGACAGCACTAGGATGATCTAGATAGTATTATGTATGGGCCAGAAATACACAAATTCTGCTTAACCCAAGTCATCTTTCCCCATGAGATATTCTGGATGAATGCATGCAGGAAGAAAGAAGCAATATGAATATCATAGATTATTTGAAGCTACACTGCTACACTTAGCCCCCAACTATGACACAGTGGTCTGAAAGATGTTAACACACACAGGAGAGATCAGGTCTCTTTTTACACTTCAAAGTTCAAGAAAAAAATTTTTGCAGAGAGTTCTTGTATTAGGTATCCTTAATGGTTAAAAGAAGAAATCTTAGATCTGGGGGTGTAGCTCAGCATGCATGAGGACCTGGGTATAATATCTGGCGCAGAGAGGAAAAGGAAAGAAAAGAAGGGAGTGAGGGAGGAGTGAAGGAAGGAAGAAAAGAAGGAATTTAAGTGAAAGAACAAACAGCCTAGAGAGATGTGGCAGGACTAAAGCAATAGTCTAAAGATAGTGGAACACGCAGAGACCAGCCACAGTGGGAAGCTGTCACAAGCCTTCTGCTGTTATAAGCCCAAAGAAGCAAGAGGAGGAAAGACTGTTACAAAAGCCCAATGAGACTTGGAGCAGAAATTGCCAGGTGGGGCGGGGATTGTGCAGGAACTGCTCCAGATGGGGTGCCAAAGCTGAGAGGCAGGGGAAGAAACCCCCTAACGCTCTTCCGGCTGGCTGGTCCCTGTGGGTACCTCCCATGGATGGAGCCCAGCTGTGAACAGAGAGGCAGTAGACACAGGTGTGGGCTTCAGCCTCCTGAGGCACAGAGAAGCAGAGAAAGGTAGAGAGCATCTGGGGAGGAGGTTGGGTATGGAGCTCAGGTGGAGAATAACTAGAACAGTTGTCCACGGAGGGGGTGTTCCTGGCAAAAAACTTTCTTTCACCATGTTGGAATTTGCCTGTCCTCGCCTGAGGTCATTCATGTATTGTGGGACTGAAGGGAGATTAAGACGTTTAGGTCAAGCCAAGCAGAATACCTTGATAGCCCTCAGTCACCTGCATGAGGGAGGAATACTGACAGAAGGGTAAATAGCAGATACATGCTTGTTTTTGTTTTTGTTTGTTTGTTTTTTGAGACAGGGTCTCACTATGTCGTTGAGACTGACCTGGAACTCACTGTGTAGCCCAGGCTGGTCTCAAACTCACAGCGATCCTCCTGCGTCAGCCTCCCGAGTGCTGGGATTACAGGCGTGCACCACCACGCCCAGCTGCAGATTCATACTTTTAATTAACAGTTTCTGAGACAAATCTTCTTCAGCCTCTCTTCAGTTGTTTGATGTGACAACTTCTTTCCCGAGTCATTTGCTCCTGGAGTAAAGATATGAGCGTAAGAGTTGAAGCAACTCTGAGTTTGTTGAGGTTACCAGTTGCTGTCTGCCACTGTGATCATGTGAGAGGTCTGGGGCAGGGGAGGCCGAGGGTGCAGAGTCCAGGTCTGCCTAGCTGCAGGTATGGTGCGGGTATGGAGAAGACGGAACAGTAACAAATCACACCCAAACACGGTCTGTCTTGAAATACCTTTGGTGCTTCACTCTTGAAAACAGTGGAAAGCAAATGTAGAGAGACAGAAGTGGTTTAAGACAAAGCAGTGTTTGAGAAAACAAGATGATGTGAGTGACAGGAGCAGAGGTAAAGTGATGTCACTCAGTACAATAACCCAAACTCCCCCAAGGATTTAGTTGTAAGACGTGACCCTCTTGGAAGGCAGGGGCAAGGGGAAAAAATGAGAACCAAGACCTGTCATGTAAAGGTACAAGATCCCAATGATGAGTGTAACTGTACTGTAGACCTAAAATGTACCAATCAACTCAATAAAAAAGAAAAAAAAAGATATGACCCTTTCCTGCAATGGATAGATTACGAATTTAGACTATTTAGGAAATAGGTCTTCATTATTACATGGTCCTTTGAGAGCTTTCTATATTATAAGCACACTTTATTCTCACAAATACATAAACAATACAAAGATATAAAGTTTTTAAAGTCAATTTTTAAGGTTTAAAAATTTTCAGAAGTGATTCAGGGACACCGGATTATGAGCTCCTACTGTATTGCTATGTAGAACTAAAGGCCAGGCAGAACAGAGATGGCCAATTATATTCTCAAAGGACAGTTTCCTGCAAAACACAACTTTGTTAGTGGGTAGTAAAAGATGCCTCTTCACTTTGGGAGACTGAAGGATTGCAAGCTTGAACTCAGTCTGGGCAACTTAGTGACTTAATGAGATGTTTACAAAAGAAAGGGGGGCGGCTGGGATGTAGCTCAGGGAGAAAGCTGCATCCTTCCATGGGTTCACTTGCCAGTACTGTAAAACAAAACAAAACAAAATCAATCACTGGCTCTTCTCTGTTAACTACATTAGGATTTTAAGCCATGAGGAAAAATGTGGTCTGCTTTTGCCAGTTCACTAATGAAGCAAAAAAAAAAAAAAAAAAAAAAAATTTTCGGCTTTAGAACCTAAAAAAAAAAAAAAAAAAAAAAAAAAAAAAATAGAATCTTCGGCTTCAGAGCTGCCATGGGTCTTGTTCTCCAGAGTATCCATCATCCCATCTGGAGATGATAACCATCTGGGGACAATGGAGAGATTTTCCAAAGTCTGTTGCACCAGAAATGAATTTTCAGTTTCCCCCAGCTCCATATGCATCCTTTCCTCTGTGGATGTCTTGTCTTCCAACCATCTTTGGCCTTTCCCCAGCTGGATAAAATGTCACCCATCCAGGAGGATGAACAAAGGTCAGGGGTAGCGATTCATATGTCCTCTTAGCAGCCCTGACTTGGGAAAGCAGGAGAACTCATCTTTTCAGCCTTCAGTAAAAGGAAATGAGTAAGCAAAGGCCACCCTATAGTTATCTGGCAACTTTCTGTCTCATGCCACTAAAGTATCCAGAGGTTTAAGAGAACAAAGAAAAAGGAACTCATGTAACTATATATATCCACATACTGAGGGTAGGGGAGGATCCTGAGTTGAGCTTAGGCGAGACTTCTCAAATGCTTGATCTTGCAACTCTCTGAGAATTTTTATTAACCTCATTAGTATTGTTTCCATATCTTCATGGAGGAAATGCCAGGAGAATGGGAACAGACTCAAAAGCAGTATGTTTGGCAGGTCTGCTATGCCTCTAAGAAGAGAAACTACGGAGCTTCAGGAAGGAGATACAATTAAATACGAAAAACTTCACTTGTGGGCCCTCAAGACCTTTGATTGGAAAATAAATCTTTCCTAGGATCCCTAGAAATGTCTCTGGTGGTAAACTTTCTGCCTGATGTGTTCACCTTCCAATGGTCCATCCCCTACAGTGGTGCCTGGCACTCCCACAAACCTAGGTCACTGATGTAAACATGGAAAGATTTTCAGAGTGAAATGCAGTTGCGTCTGTAGGCTTTGAACAGCATGGCAGGGTTGGCCTGGAATGTGTGAGCAGGTGGTACACTGATGACTATAAAGTTCATCTTCTAATTGTATAATAAATCTGGCTGTTGGCCTAAAGTGTATATGGAGAGACGTAAGGCTCAGCCAATGATTATAACAAGGTCATATTTATAGAATGACCCCTAATCCACAATGTTCTAATGACTCAGTGCACTAAAAGAAACTCCTGTCTTTTCCCTAATGAGGAAGGAATACAGATGTAAGCATAAGGGTTCTGATCTCGATTCTAAAAACAGAAATTGAGGTTAGTTTGAGAGTAGGTATTAAAGCACCACTTCCAAGAACAGAAGCACTAAAGACAAAGTTAAGGACTCTACCAGGGAAGGAAAATGCAAACAGATCAATAAATTGAGAAAAGAAAAAATCCTAACATTTGTTATGAAGATATTTGCAACTAGCAGCTTTCCTTCCTTCCCTCCTTTTTTCTTCCTCCCTCCCCTCCTTTCTTCTTCCCTCCTAACTTCCTTTTCTCCTCTTTCCCCTTCACTTTCACCCTTTCCTTCTGTGTTGGGGATTGAACCCAGGGTTTTGCACATGTGAAGATCATTGAGTTGCACCCCTCGTCACACTGGAGCATTTAATCATGACAGTCTAGACCCATGTAAA